ATATATATATATATATATATAAATAGAAATATGTAATTTAAAACACATGAATTATATACATAACAGAATGCAAGTCTTCATCATTCTCTCAGCATAGTATTCACTGCCGGGAAATTCTCATTTAATTTTCGGCAGACATTATCTAAAAATAAACCTTGAGGTTCTTTTATTAGAAAAGAATACTGGCCAGGCCTTTTAATAAATTTTACCCCCAAAAGTAAGGTTTCGGAGATAACCTTTTTTACATAAATGTAATGTTGAGTTCTAGTTTTAATTTACCCCGTATTTAGACTTGTTGAAAATTTTCAGTGATTTTGTTTGTTGCTTGCCAACTACTTTAAAGTTAACATTCAGTGTACATGAAACATTTAGTCCTTCATATTACAATGCAGGATTGTAATAGTTGAATTAAGTGCTATGGATATATCATTACACCCTAGCCCGAACCCTAACCCTAACCCAAGCCCTAAACCTATTCCTAGCCCTAACCATAACCCTAAACCTAGCCCCATGCATAACCCTAACCTTAACCCTAGTCCTTGGCACATCTCGTTAAATATGTTGTTCTCATCTATAGATCGAGAAAACGAATGACACTTATAACTTATAATAAATAATTTATTCTGTGGGAATTTGTAGGTTTTCATACAATTAACAGTTCCATATATGTTCAGTAAATGTATAAATCTGAAAACACTCGAGGCCAGTGATTATTTCAGAAATTTTCCCCTGTGGGGGCACTTCAGATTTTTCGTGGGGGGGGGGGGGCAGTGCCAGTTGATTTATTGTTGGACATATTTTTCTCCGTGGGGGGGCACTTGGCTTTCCCCGGGGGGGGGAGGGGCAGTGCCCCCCGGAGATATAGCTGAAAGAAACCCTGCTCGAGCCCCCCCCCCACTAAATTAAATGTATAGGGAAGAGTTTCTCATTGTCTCCAAAGATAACCGCAATAACGCGAGAACATTTTTGGAAGAAAAACAACACCAACCTATTCAATGGTCAATGGTGTACGTTCACGAAGGAAAAACACCAACCTATTCAATGGTCAATGGTGTACGTTCACGAAGGAAAAACAATATTTATTTTCGGAAAAACCCAAATTGGTAATATGTAGGCGGCAACCACGGGCAAGCTACTCTGTTTTACACAAATTTGGAGTACCCCATACAACAAAAACATAAAAGGTCTACAAAGTGGAAGGGATGAAAGCACCAAGTGTACCAATTACTCTAATGCTATGATAGTGTTTTGTGTCCTTATTTTGGGCTAGCCTGATGTTTAGAATTTACGGGGGAAAAAATGTGGTTTACAAAATGTATGTGTCATATAAATGTAGATTTATATATAAGAAAAAAGCTAGATACATCATTGCTAGGCATAAGTCAGAACAACGCAACACACTTCATTTTTGGGCATACCATCTCCTTATTACAAAGCTCAAGTTAATTAGATATTCGAGAATGTTCTTTCTTTCACGGATTACAGATTAAAGCAATGTCAAGGGACTCTAGTCATCTCGGCCATAGAGTATAAAATCTTGTGTTTTGAATTTCCGCTTAGACCGCTCTGAATTGAATTCACGGGACTTGGCGTCGGACGACGTCGGCGGCGCCGTTAGCCTCATAGCGCCACGTCATGGTAGGTGTGAGGTCGAGGTCGTCCAGAGGACACGATGACCTGCCCAGAGGGCCTCCTGATGACCACAGGGTGTCTGCCGTAGGTGTTCTCGATTGTTCTAGGCACAGTCGTGGAGACGGAGAAGTTGCTCAACGACCTGGAGCGACGGCTGCTCTTGGACAAGACAGACTCAGTTTCGTATCTCATGTGAAGACTGCCGTGCTCTGATCCCACGACTGGAAAGATGTTTTAAAAAAAAAATGAGATAAGAATTAGTGTTGGGGGCCATACATTAATTATTTCAACAAAATTGGCTACTTTTTTTTTACCCCTCCTCCTACCCCCCTGCCAACAACTGTCAATCTTTCAGGGCCATCCTTAATTAATTATGTCAAATATTGCCCCCCCCCCCCATTTTTAAAAAAAAGAACATGTAAATAAAATGTAATAAATATGGATTTTTTAAAAAATGCTTACGATTTACGATATGGAATTTGGCGGGGAACAACAAATTTAAAAAAAAAAACATGTAAATAAAATTTAATAAATATGGATTTTTTAAAAAATGCTTACGATTTACGATATGGAATTCGGCGGGGAACAACAAATGCGTTACATTAAAAAAAAAAAAAAACACACTTTTTAAAACAAATATTAAATTTGTAACAATTAGAATCAATGACTAGAATCAATTTTATAATACATATTTTATTTAAGACTGTATTAGGTCTAAATATTATTGTTATTAATTTTTTGTTATCCTCACGTTAAGGCAAATGTCTCCCTTTTTGATACAGGGCACAGTAACTGATCAATATGTCATTGCCATATTAAATTATTATTATGGAGGGCTCAGACCATTTGAAATTATATATATTTTTTATAGCTATTGAAATTTAAAAAATAATTTGCAGCACATTATCCACTCCTATTTATGTTATATTATTTTAAAAAAAATAAATTTAAGAAAAATAAAATGGTTGACGTCAATTTATTTTGACTTTCCCCTCTGCCTTGTCAAACATTTTCCTAACCCAGGCCCTGTTTTTAAAACTAATTTATGGACGGCCCTTGCTGGGTGGGCTATTCTCGTCAGAAGTCCACCGTGGACACCAAAAACATAACAATGATCGAGGTCCGAGGTCCTTAGTGACCTTAGAGCAGGGGTCGGGAACCTTTTGGTCTGAGAGAGCCATGGACACCACATATTTTGAAAAGTAATTCTGTGAGAGACATACATTTTGTTTAAAACTAAAAATTCAAGTAAATGTGTGCATTTTGTGTAATTTCAACATTAAAAATGCAATAATTTTGTATCTGAATTCTTTTTAATAACATTGGTATGCTGTTGCTAATCAAAGGAGTCTAAAAAAAACATTTTTTAAAATAATCGAACATGTGTCAGCGAGCCAGATGCAGCCATCAATAGAGCCACATCTGGCTCGCGAGCCATAGGTTCCGGACCCCTGCCTTGCCTTAGAGTGAGGAACACTCCACTGCCTAACTTTTGTTATCATCCGTGTCAATTATCTTAACATACTTATTTCAAGCGGTTGATTTCAGATTATTAATTAAACTTATATGTAATATTTGAATGATATTTATTGGAAAGATTAGATCAGAATCGTGTGGTAGCAAAGTAAATATTTTGTTTACTTTAACCAAGATGGTGACGCCCTAACTATGGTTATAAATGGGACGGTCCAAGTTAGACCACTGCAAAACAAATACATCTAATCTATTTTAATTTTTGCTTACCTTCCCTTTCATGTGAAGCTCTCCCCCCCCCCCCCCCCCCCCCCCCCCCCCCTCCAACCTACCGGTTTTAATTAGTAGCTAAATAATAAGAATTAATATATTTTCTCTTAATATGTTTAGTCTTTTAGAGCCACTGGATGAAATTTATAATAGTGAGATGAATAGTTTTCACGGAAATTTAAGAGTATCACTGTAATAGTTACATAAGGGATACCGCAGCGGAGTCATTTTTTTCTTCTTTGAAATCACAGATTGATTCTAAATCTTTTGTAATACAACTATATAATTTTGTAAGGTTTATTTGGTTTGCATTAGTTCTTCCTGTGTATCTTTACTCAACTAATGTTTATGAGCAGTGGCGTCGAAGCAGCCCTGCACAAAAAGATTTCTAAGTAGATGTTTAATTGAAATGTGTATATACAAGTGTCGCAGGCGACCCATCGGGAATTTCCTGGCGGCACATTCCACCCATGTCTATTAGTAACAACACATACTCATTATAGAATTTCTTACTAGACGGTTTGCGCCCTGTAATCCGTGTTGGGGGTGCGAACTCCCCCACGAATCTCCGGTGTGACGCCCACGGGTTGGTGTAGTAGCCTGCTGAGGAGACGACCCTGCCTTCGTATGTCTTTGGAGGCGCCTTGTAGATCACGTGGTGCGGGGCGTGGGCGCTCTCGTGTGGGGAGCCCGAGTAGACAACCGGCCGTGACGGAAGTATAACGTGACCCGGATGTTGTTGATAGACCACGTTCGGCTCAATGTACGTGGCGGAAACCCGCCTGCCGTCGTGATGATCGTAGGAAAGCCTCGCTTTCAGCTCTCTCACTTCCTGCGACAGATCCTCGAGCTCCTCTTTGAAAATCTCCACGCTCTGCGCAGGTCTCGGCTGCGGGGTGTAAGGAAACGGGGACACTTCCGTTTCTATGACGTAATCATCGTCTTCGTCTTTAACCACCTTCGTCTTCTTGCTCACCACAACTTTGTTGTTGTTGTTGTTGTTGCTACTGTTGCTGCTGCTGTTGCTATTTTGATGAACAACAGTCCTCTTGATGTACGTTGTTCCGTTGTGAACCTCAGAAGGCGTGTTGCTCTTACTCCGGTCCAACACAGGGACGTGGGGCACATCGCCATTCGTTTTCACAATCACCGCCCCATTGGGCTGACTGCGCTGGGGGAAGATTTCGGCCATGTGGCGGCTGGCATTGTGGGCGCTCCTCTGGCTGAGTGTCCAGTTGCCGTTGTCACGCTGCTTCAGCTCCACATTCGACGAGTGGACGTCGCGTTTGATTTGCGCGAATATTGAAGTGATGAGATGCGAATCAGCGTCAGACGCGCACCGGAAGGCCATGATTCTGTACTTCTTCTTGGGATCGGGCAGGACGAACATGACGCAAGACGTCGAATCCGGATTCTTCGTCACGGTTGTGATGTCACTGATGGGGTAGGTTTCCACTTTGTTTTCTTGGAAGAACCTGGAGGAGATGACCTTGAGGCCGGCCTTGCTCAGTTTGATTTTTCTCCTCTTGCCCTTGCTGCTGGAAACGGAAGTGGCTATGGTTTTAAGGATTTCATCGGTGAGGACATCCTCGTGCCACGTGCCAAGGTGGCTGACCTTTTTTGTGACCTCTATTCCCGACATTGTGAGAGTTTCTGATATAGATCTTGTTGTTGAAGCACTGTTTAATGTTGATCTGCAGGGATACAAGTCTGTATTCGACAAATCAGGTCATGGTGATCGAGTCAAGGCTGAAAGTTGATCAGGTTGTAAAGTCCAGTTATTTCACTGCAAAGAAAAGTGTATTTTTAGACATGAGTCACGTGCTGATGTTTAATCAATGAAATAAAAAAAAAGGGTTGCAATTTCTATTCAAAGATTTAAAAAATAGTCTATTTAAAATTGCAAACCTTAAAATTTCTCCACAAAAATGATAAACTTTCGTTATATAAATTTAATCCTTAAATAAATAAAAGTAAAATGTTGTGTCACAAACATGTTTAGTTGGGTGATTAAATGAAGACTTATGTCCACCCCTAAACTCAGCCCACTTTCCTGCTTCAATCCCTAATGACTCCATTCCCCGAGAATTTTTTGTTTGTTTTGTTTTTGTTTTGCGTTTTGGACTAAGACATTTCGCCTTCAGGCAATTCAAGTTCTTTCAAGGAGAAAAAAAAAGATCTACAAAAGGCAGTAGTTCTATTGTTCTCGATATCCATTGATAAAAATGTTCCACTAATAACCAACGCTGAAGCCTCTCTCAAGAGGAAGGACCGCCACCACAAAAGCGATTTAGGACACACCCATAGGTTGGAGCCAAGCTTGGTATGGTTAAAATTCTAAGCTTCGGTTTTCCCTCTTTTACCATCTACATTTCTTTAATTGACGTGTCTTTGGAAAAGTACAACTGGAACATACAGGTGCACTTCTATTGCTTACTTACAATAAGGTAAGCGCTGTTTTTTTTTTTTTTACAAGTGTTTGGGTGTAACTCTTGAGCTACTCGTGCTTTCTTTTTAATGCCACTCTTTTTATTTGGGGGGGGGGGGGGGGGGGGCGGGGCAGGGGGTACTATTTTCAAAAGAGGAGCGAACAGTTTAACAATTATATTTGTATACCCACGCGTATGCCAATATTATTTCATGAAATGATTGGGGGGGCCAATAATTTAATTTAAATTAAAGGGTGGAGGGGGGGCGGTCAATTATCATCGTTACATTATTGTTTGGGGGAAAAAGGTTTGGGAACCACCGCATTTAAGAAATAAGAATCGTAATAACTCCATAAGTACACAATGAAGTGGCGTTGATGTCACCACAAAAAGTAAACCTAAGTTTGAACCACAAATCCGGACATACTGTAAACTCTGATGTGAAGCATTCTGGGTCATAGGACGTCATGCGTGGGTAGTAAATATAAAAAAAAAATCTGTCATGTACAAAAACATTTCAAGTTGGGGGGGGGGGGGGCATTACTACGGTATTTAACCCATGGTCTTTTAGTGCTGTGACACGCCCCTGGGCTGAGAACGAACGGATATCCTGATATACGTACACGATCTCCGACACCTCTTTCGATCGCACTATCAGAGATAAAATTAAAACTGGTGAGATGGAATCAAGTGTATACAACATAAATTGATTGTTATTACTTTTTTCTGGGGAAGCCAAAAAATAATTAAAATCTTTGATTGAAACCGCTATGGTTGGCTTATTTGCGATCTGCGGGCAGAGCGGTTCTCATTAACATATAATTTGATTTGCATAAGCTGAATGGGTCATAAGAAGTAGGCGTACGAATGATTGATTTATCCGACCAAATCAGTCTTGCTCGAGACGAAGGTCAAGGTTGTCATCAATTCAACATCACTTCCGCACCAGGAAACAAAGAATCAAGCTTTCCACCCCTTTGGACTGGAATCGAGTTATTTGATTTTTTTTTATCTTTGGACTTGAATCGAGTTATTTAATTTTTTTTTTCTTTGGACTTGAATCAAGTTATTTGATATTTGTTTAAAATTTCTATTACTCCCTGCTTAGATACAGCTCGAACTGAAGACATATTTTCATCAACTTTAGCTTCGTCTAAGTACTTCAGTTCCGCAGTGTGAAAGAATTACACCGAGGGCTTGGAGTCGTTTAAAGAAAAAAAATTATGACTCCAGATTTACAGTAGATTTGATCGTGCCAGATGACGTTACGATTCGTTTTCTTTCTATCACAGACCAACACAGACAATCACAGACCAACACAGACAATCACAGACCAACACAGACCATCAAAGACCCCAACACAGACAATCATAGACCAACACAGACAATCAAAGTCCAGCACAGACCCCAACAAAGACAATCGCAGATCAACACAGACAATCACAGACCAACACAGACCCCAACAAAAACAATCACAGACCAACACAGACAATCAAAGACCAACACAGACCAGCAAAGACCTCAACACAGACAATCACAGGCCAACATAGACCAGCACAGACCCCAACACAGACCATCACAGATCACAACACAGACCAACACAGACCATCACAGATCACAACACAGACCATCAAAGACCAACAAAGACCAACATAGACCAACACAGACCAAAACAGACAATCACAGACCAACACAGACAATCACAGACCCCAACACAGACCACTACAGATCACAACACAGACCATACAGACCCTTAAAGACCAACACAGACCAACATAGACCAACACAGATCAACACAGACCAACACAGACGATTTTCCCAGACAAAACCTTGATAAATTATCAGGAGAGTTTTTTTGTTTAAAGGCTACACAAGCAGTCCTGAATGTTTTAGTAAAAGAATGGTTTCATTGGATGGCCCGAAGATTGGGAATTCCAACCCGCCACTAAAAGTTTCAAGATAGGTTTATAAGATATTGGATGATATTCCAAAGAGATAGGTTTATAAAATATTGGATGATATTCCAAAGAGTGGCAATACCATTACAACAAAATGTCATAGAATAAACGCTTCTCCGCCCTCTTTAAAAAAAAACACCACAACACACAAACTCATCTACATCATATTTTTAAAAAAATTTTACCGCTTCGAGGTAGCTTTTACAATTAAACATTTAATGTAACAAAGTCCTATATTATCGCTCTGCAAGAGTTTTTTTTTTTGTTTTCTAAATTATGATCAAAACAAAAGCCCCCCCCCCCTCTCTCTCTCTTTCTCTCCCGTTCTCAGCATTGATTCTTTGAGTCAAAATGGCGACTTGAGACTACATCTGCGTTGTCTGTTATCATGAAAATCAGCTTCTGAAACTAACTTTGTCACGAGACCTCGACAGATAATGTAGGATCGTCCTAAACCTACGGTAAATTCCACTGCTGTCTTGATCATGGTTCACACGCTATTAAGTTGTGTCTACTAGGATCTTTTATGTTTACTGGGATCCTATATGTTAAAAGGGATACTGTATGTTTACTGGGATACTGTATGTCAACAGGGGTACTGTATGTTTACTGGGATACTGTATGTTAACAGGGGTACTGTATGTTTACTCGGATACTGTATGTTTACTGGGATCCTATATGTTAAAAGGGATAAGGTATGTTTACTTTGATACTATATGTCAACAGGGGTACTGTATGTTTACTGGGATATTATATGTTAACAGGGGTACTATATGTTTACTGGGATACTATATGTATACTTGATCCTATATGTCTAGTGCGATCCTATATGTTTATTGGGATACTATATGTTTACTGAGATACTATATTATTATGGTATCAGGGATACTGTATATTTACTGGGATACTATGTGCATACTTGGATCCTATTTCTCAATACCATATTGTGAACATTAAGTTTACGCACAACTGAGGCGACTGTATTATTTGTACATGTGTCATTAGAGTCACAGAACTCCCGGTGAATGACTTCAGATTGTCTCAGCGGTTCTCATACAGTGGTACATGGACACCACGAGAATCTACTGCCATGGATTCTCCCATGACATTCATCGCCATTATAAAGAATAAAGAAGAGTCTACTGGACCATTATTCATGTATGTCGATCTTTTAACATGGTATATGTCATATCTACCTACGGGTTAGTTTACGGTCTCCACCGTCTTATTCCCAAATACTAATATTTTATCCTTCAAACATGTACATATATAAGAGTTACATTAAAACTGACACCAAAAAAAATAAAAGGAACCTTACAGATGGATATAAGAAGGGCACTAGGTTCGTATAAGAAGGGCACTAGGTTCGTATAAGAAGGGCACTAGGTTCGATGAAATTGTGTGAACCTGTCTCATCATTATTGTCAATAAACATTATTTATAGGAGATGACAGCGACAATTGAGAAAAAATACATATGCAAATTGCAGAGGTCAGCAAAAGTGATCCCAATCCTCTTCCATATCTTGGGTGAGCAGAATACTGAAATAATACGGAAAGAATACTGACATAATACTGAAAGAATACTGAAAGAATAATGAAAGAATACCTGATAGAATACCTGAAAGAATACTGAACTAATACTAAAAGAATACTTTTAGGTTAATAATTGCCAAAAACCAAACCTTATTTATAATAAGAAATGTTCACTGGGGGTGGTACTGGTGGTTTCCATCACCAGTTTAAGATCCCCTGTATAAACAGCAGTCGGACCAAGAATACACAGCCACCCAGTGGGCAGGTATAGGTATGTACAAGATATTATAACTTGCCGGACCGGTTGGCCGAGTCCGTGTAGGAGATGTTTTCTACATACTTTGTCATATCAAGCATTGATAAAGTAGAGTGTGTGTGTGTATATATATATATATATATATAACGCCCTCCCCCACCCCCACCCACCATGTTTTAGTAAAATATATGTACCGGTATATATAACGTCTTCCCCCCCCCCTTTTTTTTTTCTCGTAAAACAACCCCCTTAACCCTTTGTTATCCTGTAGTCAACATTATAAAGAAAATTCTTGGGTCAGGTGGAGATAAGCTTGTGAAGTTGATCGGTATATCTTGTAACTACGTTGGGGTGGTATTGGTTTTACCTTCTTCACGCCCGTGTAAATAGCACGCAAGAATGAAATCAGGGGCGCGGGGAGTAGCTGGACTGAAAGAAAAAATATTTATTGCCAATCTTAACATATTGATTTATAACAGATCTATAGCCAATCTTTACATATTGATTTGAGCCAGATTTATGGCCAAGTGCGTCCGATACATAAGTTATTGTTTAATATGTGCTTTAAGCAGGTTTTGGCAAAGTCACCCTATCGTAGGTCAAGGCCAGAACAGCCTTTTTAACATGCGTCACGTGCACATGAGGCACGCACACGAACATATTTACAACCGATTGTAGGACGTGAGAAAGTAACACGTATAACATTTTTTGCATTACTGTTATTTCCAGAGTCGTTAAGATTATTGGGTATGGGACAAAGTTGAGCTGTGTGAGCGATTGAACGCACTGAACCAACGTGCATGGGGGTCACCAGCTAGTGTGAGCGATTGAACGCACAGAACCAACATGCGTTCGGCACCCCAGCTAGTGTGAGTGATTAAAAGCACAGAACCAACATGCTTTCGGCACCCCAGTTAGTGTGAGCGATTAAAGGCACAGAACCAACATGCTTTCGGCACCCCAGCTAGTGTGAGTGATTAAAAGCACAGAAGCAACATGCATTGGGCTCCCCAGCTAGTGTGAGTGATTAAAGGCACAGAACCAACATGCTTTCGGCACCCCAGCTAGTGTGAGTGATTAAAGGCACAGAACCAACATGCTTTCGGCACCCCAGCTAGTGTGAGTGATTAAAAGCACAGAACCAACATGCTTTCGGCACCTTAGCTAGTGTGAGTGATTAAAGGCACAGAACCAGCATGCTTTCGGCACCCCAGCTAGTGTGAGTGATTAAAAGCACAGAACCAACATGCATTGGGCTCCCCAGCTGGTTGGAAGCTCCATATACTGAGAGCACATTGCATTCGTTCATATTGTTTCGTCCTATGAAGAGTTGTTACGTGTGGCGTAGGAAGGAGAGGGTTGGGGGGGGGGGGGGGGGGTCCGGCCCAGGGGGCCCCCTTTTTTTTTATTTTTATTGTCGTGAAAAAAGTGTGTGTTGGGGGGGGGGGGAATCTTGATACCTCCCGGGCGGCACTAATCCTAGCTCCATCACCGATTATTACCGAATATTTTGTGGCCTCTAGTGTGCGAATCTGGGGTTTATATATTGTTTACAAAAGCTGATGAGATGAGAGATACGTTTTTTTTAAAGTACCGGTATATAGCATAGCAACATAATATGCAAATGAAACTTCACAGTCTTTACCTGCCCCAAGAATGACACGGTCTTAAACCACCTGAAGTACGCAAACATGAAACCCACATTCATGAATATGTCATTAAGGTCGCATCCTCAGACGAATTTAATATTCAACACATTTTCTTTTTTAAGTCTACACTTTACATTATTTACATTTTAACGCTAACGTTGTTTTTTAGGTCACGTGAACGAAATTGTCCATTATCTTCGTCAACACGGCCGATGTAGAATGTATTCTTTATAAAACTCAGGTCAGAGCACTGGGAGTCAATGTGTCAAAGTTTTGGGAAACATTTTTAAAAGCATTTATTGAAACCTGCATATAATTCCCAGTCAATGCAAAATTTTGTAATATTCCTTTATGTTTAAAGTTAGCGGAATCTAAAATGCTAAATGGACAGCAACTCCTCTAAGAAAAGGCAAGCCTTGAATAAATAGATCTTGGGCCCTAAAATATAGGAAAATAAATTATAAAAATGTGTGAATTTAGTTTATACCGTAAGGCCCCAACGTACCAAATCTTTTTATTAATTTATTTCCCATAAAAATGCTTGAATTTGGATTGTTTTGTCACCATAATTAAAGCTTAAACACATTGTTTTATTTACAAACAGTGTTTGTGTCTCATTAATCTAACTTTAACAAGGGTGGCATAGCTGAAGAAACTCAAGCCAAAAGTCTTAACTCAAGCCGAAAGGCCCCGACTCAAGCAAATAGAATTCAACTCAAGCCAAAAGGATCCAATTCCAGCAAATAGGTCCCAACTCAAGCCAATAGTTTTCCGTTCAAGCCAATAGAACCCAACTCCGGCAAACAGGATTCCACTCAGTGACTCCATCTGCAGAGCGCTTAATGTAAAGGGAAAGCATACACGACTACTACTATTTCTGACCTTGTAATATCTGATGTGAGGTAAAAGATAAGACAAGTTAAATATTGATTTAATTTTTTTTTTAAACTACATCTTTTCACAGAGAGCGTGGCTATGATACTGCAGGCGGGTTTAAATGTAGATTGGACGGCATGATACGGCAGACGTGTTTAAGTGTGGGCTGGACGGCATGATACGGCAGGCGTGTTTGAATGTGGACTGGACGGCATGATCATGCAGACGTGTTTAAATGTGGATTGGATGGCATGATACCGCAGGCGTGTTTAAATGTGGATAGGATGGTGTGACTTGTTGGAGCCTTCCAGTCAGCATACAGGGTGCACCAGTCTACCGAGACAGCCCTGTTGCGCGTCGTAAACGACCTTCTGTCATCTTGTGGCGAGGGCAAGATATCGCTTTTGTCGCTACTCGATCTATTGGCTGCGTTCGATGTGCTTGACCACGGCATACTTCTCCAACGTCTGGAAAATACGTTTGGTTTCACCGATACCCTTCTGAAGTGGTTCCGCTCGTATCTAACAAATAGGGTCCAATCAGTTATTGCAAACGGTTTGACCTCGAAGCAATCTTTCATCGAATTCGGAGTACCACAGGGCTCAATCCTAGGCCCAGTGCTTTTCACAATGTACGTTCAGCCCGTGGGTGCAGTGATCAAGCAATTTGACATGCTATATCACATGTTCGCGGATGACACCCAACTTCGGCAATCTGTGATCCCCTCTCAGTTCCCTCATGTTCTTAGTATGACACAGAAGGCAGTGGAGTCAGTTAAGCACTGGATGACTATAAACAAGCTTACACTGAATGATGAAAAGACCGAGCTGATCCCCATTGCTACCGCTCAAAAGCTAACATATATAAATAACACACAAACCCTTCCTCTCAGGTATACAGATTGAGTTTCCTAAGACAGTGCGAAACCTGGATGTCTGTTTAGACAGAACAATAACTATGAAAAATCACATTTACATGGTTTGCAAGGCGATTTTTCTAGAGCTGCGCAGAATTAGTCATATCAGACCTTTCTTACTGTTAGATGCATCAAAGAAGCTGATGTCTGCATTCGTGCTACCACGCATGGACTACTGTAATGTTCTTATGGTGGGTCTTCCAGCTACGCTCCTAGATAAAATTAAAAAAAGCACAGAATAATGCGGCTCGCATTGTTCTTCGCAAACGCAAATTTGGCCATGCTAAAACACTTCTGAGAGATTTGCATTGGCTGCCAGTCCACGCTCACATAGAGTACAAAATGGCAACTCTGTGCTACCGCTGCTTTCATGACCTGGCACCGACCTATCTCAAAGAGCTGCTGACGCCTTATGTACCCACTACACAACTCCGGTCATCTGATAGTGGCAAACTTTCGATACCACGTTCGTCTTGAGACTTACGAGGGGAGTACTTTCGTATTTGCTGGCCCAACAATTTGGAACACCCTTCCTGTCGCTCTCAGAAACAGCCAGTCACTGGAGTCTTTCAAAACTTATTTGAAGACATATCTATTTCGCAAACACCTGCTGGGATGATGTTATATATCTAGGTATTATCTTGTGGATGTGTATTGGCCTGTGTTGTTTATGATTGTTATAGGTATGAAAGACTTAGAATGGGTATTCTTGTATATAGTTTTTGCAATGTTGCATTTTGTATTTCAATGTGGTATATTATGGACTGTTTCATTTCTCTTTTAATATACTAGACTATATACCGCGCTTCGAGCCTTTGTGGATGAAGCGTGATTTTCAAATAAACTTTATTATTATGATACCGCAAGCGTGCTTAAATGTGGATTGGACGGCATGATCCTGCAGACGTGCTTAAATGTGGATTGGACGGCATGATCATGCAGACGTGCTTAAATGTGGATTGGACGGCATGATCATGCAGACGTGCTTAAATGTGGATTGGACGGCATGATCATGCAGACGTGCTTAAATGTGGATTGGACGGCATGATCATGCAGACGTGCTTAAATGTGGATTGGACGGCATGATCATGCAGACGTGCTTAAATGTGGATTGGACGGCATGATCATGCAGACGTGCTTAAATGTGGATTGGACGGCATGATCATGCAGACGTGCTTAAATGTGGATTGGACGGCATGATCATGCAGACGTGCTTAAATGTGGATTGGGCGGCATGATACCGCAGGCGTGTTTAAGTGTGGACTGGACGGCATGATACCGCAGGCGTGTTTAAAAAAATCGTACTGTATATGAATAACTTTTTTTTAAAAGCGTTTTCTAATAAAATATGAGTTTGGGAAGGCAAAAAGTCATTTTTATTTATATCCAATAATTGTCCTCCTGGCCACTTTCCTTTATATTGCAATTCCAACTCTCCACCGCTGTGCACTTTTTGGATCAAGATTAAAAAAAAAAAAGCTATATCAAAATTTCACCAACGGGTTTTACGTGCCTTTTTTTACGTGTATTCATTTTCTCTGTTAAATTATTTGTCATAATGGAATCGAAAAATACATTATGTGGATAAACTGTTTTTAGTTTTTCAAATTCTCTTCTCCCCACCGTGCCCCTTTCCCAACGCAATGCTCATCCAAAAATTATTATTAAAAAAAAAACAGCATAACATAAAAACAAATCAATACAATAAAGAATATTTTAAAAATTAATATGAAATGGGCCATGGTTGGCTAACTGACGCCGTATCTGTCAATGGTTCCACTGCTGAGGAACTGACGAGACTACAATTTATCGAAAATCGATTCAAGCACTGGGAATGAATATTTCCCGTTTGGTCGATATCATCTCACAAAACATTCAGTGACCATGTAGTTACCTCAATAAAAATTCATGAACTTAAAGTGTGCTGTCATGAACATATATGTCTGTATATATACTTGAAAACTTGTTGAGCACAACAATACTACAGAACACACACCACGCCTAGAAGACAACAGACCACACACCAAGCCTAGAATACTACAGACCACACCTAGAAGACTACAGACAACAACTAGAAGACTACAGACAACAACTAGAAGACTACAGACCACGTCTAGAAGACTACAGACAACAACTAGAAGACTACAGACCATACACCACGCCTAGAAAACTACAGACCACACCTATAAGACTGCAGACCACACGTAGAAGACTACAGACCACACGTAGAAGACTACAGACCACGCCTAGAAGACCACAGACCACACATAGTAGAACACAGACCACATGTAGAACACTACAGACCACACCTAGAAGACCACAGATCACACATAGAACACAACAGGCCACGCCTAGAAGACTACAGACCACACGCAGAAGACTAGAGACCACACGCAGAAGACTACAGACCACACATAGAAGCAGACCTGTTTACCCTCAAACTCTTAAAATCGTACAATATCATCACAAAATCGTTCAATACCTTATATTTAGAGTAAAAGATAAGCATACTATATATATATTTACACCTGAAAATCGTACATTGTACGCCAAAATCGTAAGAGTAAACAGGTCTGTAGAAGAGACCCTCTGAAGGTGGAGTGAGAGGAACGACAATAAGTGGAATTAAATTTTGAGGATATACATATTTTTTATAAAGAGTTTTAAAAAGAGAGATACATTTAACGAATTAATTAAGCACCAACATGGACAAACAAGAAAACAAAAAAAAAGCAAATAAGAAAATAAAATGATTAGCGAATTTCTTAACGATGTGATTCAGAAATGTCATAAATTATACCCCCCCCCCCTTTTTTTTTTCTCCAAACCCCACCCGTTTTTGGAAGTCTAAAATATTTGTTCAGTACAGTTTTATTGGCTGCACTCATGTTCACCGGCTCACAATGCCCTAATGTGTTGCTCAGATGCTCATCCCCCGAATTTCTGCAACGCCTGGCTGTTCCCCCATCCCTTCGAAAAAAAAAACGACCCACAGAAAAGCTTGACTTGATGCCACGCCGACAAGTAAAAGGACTACTGTTGCCAGCCGTATTATATATAGAGTGAGTTAGCAACTAGACATCTTGATTTGAATTTTAGCCTGTTATAGCAATGCACACAGCAAGGGACTGATACACCACGGCCCGGTCCTAAACATAAAGGGATTGATCCTGGGGGAGCCAGGGGGGGGGGGCGGAGGGAACTGTACCCGTGTTTGATCTCTTGTTGACAGAGATTTTCCGAATTTTTGTTCAAATTTTTGTTCGAAGGGGATGAAAGGATTTGGATGTTATGTCAATCTGCATTGAACCATAGCAGCCGTAACGTGATTGAAACCAGTCATGCGAAGCCGAGGTGAAGGTAGTTTTTTTTACAAGATGTGAAGATATTACCGGATAAATGTGTGCCACTGTTATGACATGGCGTGTCCTATTTTAACATGACTTAACCCTCGACTTATCACCTGTCTTATTACCAGACTTATCAACAAAGTTCAAAAAGTTTCCATTACTTGGTGTATATATAATCGAAATAGTGGAATAAGTTATGTGGAAGCTTGAAATAAAAAGACTGATCAACAAAAGAAGAACGCTTATAGGTTAAAAGCTTTCCTCAGCAGACAAGACAAAAAAGAAGAAACCTCGAGAAATAGAAAGTAGTTTAAAAACTTAAGTGTTCGCCATTAATGTTATTGCCGGAAGTTAGATTTTCCAAAACAAAGATTACAAGCAGTAAAAGAATCAATGTATCATTGCTGTGATAAATAAAATTTAAAACCATTTTTGAAATATGTAAAATATAAGAAATAAGAAAAGAAATACCGGGAATGTGAGGATCATTGGTAGGAGAGTATTTGATTGATTGCACATCGGACCGAAAAGATGAATTAATTTGTTTTCCCTTCTAACTCTCGCCGGTGTGTTAGTGCAGGAAATCAGTGCCGTTATAGAAATATCTAATGTCCCTTTGTGTTTATCTCCACTGGAATGGGATGAGACCGGGGAAAGTATTCCTTGTTCGATATCACGAAGATGTTCAGGGAACCTATCTGATTGATCACGTTTCCACTAACACACGTGAAGCCCACTTTGATGGTAAAAGTATCCCCAGGGAGGCTAATTTTTTTTTTTTTTTTGTTTCGACTGTAATCCGTCAGAATGCCCTCTCGTGTGTAAATTTTTAATAGCATGCACCCTAATCCTATCTGATTGATCACGTTTCCACTAACACACGTGAAGCCCACTTTGATGGTAAAAGTATCCCCAGGGAGGCTAATTTTTTTTTTTTTTTTTGTTTCGACTGTAATCCGTCAGAATGCCCTCTCGTGTGTAAATTTTTAATAGCATGCACCCTAACTAAGGATACCGAAGGGTAAATGTCCGACTGGTCACTGGACCTGAATGTTGATGAACTACGCATATTATTCTTTCAAATACATTTTTATGGATTCGGGCTTCATGATTTAAAAGGCTTTGATTTATAACGTCATCAAGGTCACGCATAGTTGTATCATTTCTTTTCCCCATTTAAAAAAAAATCCCCATCTTGATAATTACTTAAATGATCTGATGACTTTTTCCCCGATGCTGACAAACACTTGACATAGTTTTTCCCAGCCACAACCGCCTCGTGTTGCTAGAGCAGATTCACTGCTTTTTATAGACGTGTACTTTGTAACAAGAGCAAAATACCAAAACCGACTGACGTGGACTACTTTGACCCTGGCCTTTTTCAAGACCCTCCGTGGGCCAGTTGGCGCGTATTATGGTAATGGGACTCTAAATTATTTGATTTGCGATGGATCGCGTTGGTAAAGAAAACAACAACGACTGTCATCGTACGCATTTATATACGGTAGCCATTGAGCAGGATCCTCCGTTATGTCGGCATCAACATTTTTGTCTTTATAAGATGGGCGGCATTTTCGGCCAACTGCAAAGTTTTGTTGTTTTTTTCGTTAAAGAAGGTCTCAGAATATATTAGCCCACCCCGGGTATCAATAGACTAACCCTACTAAACCACTGGGTATCAATAGACTAACCCTACTAAACCACTGGGTATCAATAGACTAACCCTACTAAACCACTGGGTATCAATAGACTAACCCTACTAAACCACTGGGTATCAATAGACTAACCCTACTAAACCACTGTTTTTATTGAGAAAGTAAGGGCACACTTATTAGTTTTTTTTTCATCGGTGATGAGTGAAAATAAAATAAATTAAATTGATACAACTATGGGAGGGGGGGGGGGAAAGCCATTTAAAATTTTTTTTTTTCAAAAACAATTTTTTTATTTTATTTTTATTTTGTTCTTTGCGATTTGCAGCACTTTTAAAAGCCAATGTGATATTGACTCCCCCCCCCCTTCTTTTTCTCTGAGGGATGGGGGATATTGTCCATTAACAAGTAAAGTACATTCTATGTTATAGTGTGCTCCGGGGGTTAGTATCGATTGCATTTCGGAGGTTGGTGGATATTGCACACAGAAAAAAAAACAAAAAACAGACAGGTTACTATTGTGGAACAGGTAGATTAAATAATTCTCTGAATTTTGTTTAAAAGACACATTTTTGTAAGGAATCCATGGATGTCTCCGTGGTTAGCTACTTAAAATCCGCGGAGGTCTAAACATGACGGCAATGATGTGAGTGTGTCCCAAAGAGTCGCGTGTCACAGAGTCCTGCGTGTATTCATGAGGCGTATGTTTGTTCTCGGGAGTCTCACTTAAAAGCTAAATCTATTTTGTTTTAAAAACAACGAAATAAACTTTTTACTTACAACGTTATGGCGAATCTTTACGGGAACATACACATCCATGACAGTGACAGAGCGGCGACGTTTAAATAACAACCGTGCGGCCAGTTCCAAACACGACGCCACTAGGATACGGCGCCACTCCTCAGACGAGCGATTAATTGTGCCTGAGATCGATAGTTCACGCTCCAGTTATCAGTGATTACTATCTTACATTATAATTAAATACGTTGAAATAAAACATACTGATTCATAGCAGCAGTTTGCGCGCTGCCTCCAAGCAGAACTCACTACTTGCGACGATCTCATCATTCAACAGTCGTTGTTTACCAGCACATTAAACAACAAGAAATGATACTGCAGCATGCCAGTGGAGTCTTTGTTGCTTTTTTCATGTACGAGCTCAGTGAAACGTTTGACAGAAGTACAAATTGAACACCGATGAGAACACGCGTGTAGCAGAGAACATGGCTTAAACCGGATTCTTTTCATGCCATTTAATACGCGCTTGGTCTTTAGTTTAGACACAGAGTTTGTCAATAAGACTCTATCCACGGTTGGCATGAATGCCAACAATAAATGCAGCCCAACACTGAGGGCGAGTTAAATATTTAGGAGAGGTGGGGTGGAGGGATCAGGCACCATCCCCCAACCACCTGTACCTTTGCAGACGACAACGTTTTTAGATGACGCAATAAAGAGATAATAATTTTATTTTTTTATTTCAAATATGCGTTACACCACAGCTCTATGTTTCCCCAATCTATGTTCCCTCAATCAGTATATTTATATTATGGTATGCCTACCCCCATTTCATGTTAGTCGAGATCAGCCTCATCATTGGTTCATGTTCGGAGTTTACTGCCATCAGGCGAAGACAATCCAAAAACCAAACATTCTAACTAGGCCGAAATATTTATACGCTGGCGTCTTTACCGGCACAAGACAATGAAGGGCCAACTAAACAGCTTTTGTGCTGTCTCACTCAGGATTAACACTGAACTTAGCCAGGGGCAGAACAGAAACATTAGAAGCGGTAGCAAAAAAAAAAAAGATGTCCGTTCTTTGGGACCGCTGAAAAGATTCAACGTCTCGATGACCTTAGGCCATCTATTGATTGACGAGCTGGGCATTCTTTCACTTTTGCAGTGCCGCGGCAGCAATCGAATTCGGCGCCTGGTGCGGTAAGCGTTTGAAAGACGACATTTGGGTTGCAGAGATATTTGGGGCACATTTTGTCATCTCGTTCTGGCAAGGTTCTCTTTTTGGCCCACCTCTTGTGGTGACGATGCCTGTAGCGGGGCTAACACCCGGACACACCTTGTTACTGACCTGTGCACGACAGACACAATTGCAGNAAAAAAAAACAACAAAAAAAATAAAAAAAAAAAAAAAAAAATAAAAAAAACGGCCCCATAATGAGAGAAAAAAAAAAAAAAAAAAGGGAAGAGGGGGGGGGGGCTTTGAAACATCGTATTAAGATGAACAACATCAACACCCCAAATGATGGTTTGGCCGTAAAATGTCAGCCCATGTTAAAATGAAGAAAGTAAAAGTTAAATGAAAATAACATCAACTCATTAACTCCCCCCCCCCCTAAATCTCACCCAACCCATTGCGTGCAACTATTCTGATGTGTGTGTTTACTCTCAAACACACGGCCCCTCCATTGTGTGCGTGTGTGTTTGTGGATTGTTTTAAGAGGTGTTTAGCTGTTGGTTTGAAACTAAATTTTCCCCCCAGCCAAACCGCCAGTTCGAGCAGGAAACAGCCCCGGAAATGCGCCTGATTTTGGTTGGAGTTTAAGTGTAAGTAAAGACTGTGTCAACCAACGCTAAAAAGAAGAAAAAAAGCAACCAGAGACAGTTGAGCGAATTGAAGACAAGAAGAGAAAGGACGTCTCACATTCTTGAGACGGGCAAGTGAAACCGTAAAGAGGGGCGTGTCGTTATCCTTGGGCAAAAAGTTTTTTTCTTTTTTACAAATACATTTATAATAACGCGTTTTAATTAACTGTTTCATTTACATTATTTCCAACCAGGTTTTCGTCCTTGACTTCGTTATTCACAGGTATAAAGTTACATTTCAAGCCTATTATGTGAGATAATCACAATGATTCTTCGAGTGTTCAAACTAGCAAGAAAGTTACTCAGGCCAGGATGGTACTCGGAATGGTAATCAGGGTGGTACTCGGAATGGTACTAAGGATGGTACTCAGGGTGGTACTCTGAATGGTAATCGGAATGGTATTAAGGATGGGACTCGGAATGGTACTAACGATGGTACTCGGAATAGTATTAAGGATGGTACTCGGAATGGTACTAAGGATGGTACTCAGGGTGGTACTCAAGGTGGTACTCGGAATGGTACTAAGAATGGTACTCGGGATGGGACTCAGCACGGAATAACCACGTTTGGGTCCATTTTATCCTATGATGAAACAGAAACATTAAAAAGAAGGTGTTGCACGTAAGCTTTAAACGCGTTATAGGAGTTTATTTTTGCCATTTTTCTATATCTTCATATGTTGTACTGAGCGGAACTAGTTTGGCAACGGCCATAAATATCTGCCAATGATTAAATTCAACATTAAGTCAATAGCTTTACGCAATGGAGTGAATGTCGCAGTTAATGACCACCGATGTTGTCCACTGATGCTGCCTGGTTTAAATGTTTTTGAGGTTTGTTCGAAATTGAAAACGGAAAAATTCCAAATTTACAGACAGTTTAAATAAAATAATCTCCTGAATCTGAAAAAGAAATTGGGGGGGGGGGGTGTGTTAGGTGTCCATCAACATGAGGTGTGCTTCCTTTCATAATGAGTCCCACACAGTGCACACACACTCCATGTACGGATACACACGCTCCAGGCACAGCTAAACGCACCCAGTACAAACTCATTTCTGACAAACACATCCAGCAAAACCAGTTTGTTACCGGCTGCATTGTTTATTGTCATCATGGTCTGGAGTCTGGACCCGAGTGACACACACTCTGCAGGTCAGCGATGGCAGAGGGACGCACACGCTGCAGGTCAGCGATGGCAGTGGTTCTAAAAAAGAATTATGGGAAACTGAGATTTGATTTTGCTCGTTTTTCAATTAAAAAAAAAACCTTCTTAGAGATACATTTTCTGCTGCAACTGCATCTTTTATCAGTTAATTTAGTTTTGAAGGTAAAATTAAGTTTAGAAGCTAAGATATGTTTAGCAAATGGAAATATTTATTTATGCAGATTTGACGGGCATGCTAAAAGTTACTGGCCACAATCCGAAAACATGATGAGGTAAAGAATTCCTCTGTCTTTTCCCAACAAAATCGAGTTGTCGCCAACCATCATCACCCCCAAACCACCATATCTGTCCCTGACGCCAATGGCGAGGGTTGCGACCGCATGAAGGTATTTTACAGTGGAGCCCCCCTGCCACGACGTCATTACCCTGTAGCGACCCCCTAAAGTCGGGCACCACTGAGTTACGCCATTGTACTTTGGCGGATCATCAAATTCAAAGGCAGCCACTAGTTGTGACGAATTTTTGTACCAGTTTTCTTCCCCCCCCCCCCCCCCCCCTTTTTTTTTTTTTTTTTTATGAACAAACATTAAAGCATTTGCTTTCTTTCCTCTTTCTTGGGTCACCCTGGGGGGGGGGGCCGGGGGGGGCTTGCTTCAAGTTTCAAGACGTTCACATTATCCATATCATCCGTTGGGAAGTTCTCTTCATGTCATTGCGTATAAGAGTTCCTCTTCCCCACACTGGGGGACACACACACACACGCGTGTCAAGTCTCTAACCATTCGTTCATAAACAAGTTGGCCACGACTCATTAAGTTTCTTTTGCCATAGAATATGTTTTTGTTGGCACTTTGTTTATTTAGTTGATGCATGATGCACTCTACAATAATGGCCATTCGAGAGGGTGGGCACTCCAGTCCCCGGGCACCATCTCCAGCGTGCACTAAAATCGTCACTGTTCACGAAAAATATGTGTATTAATAAAAACTTTGTGTGAATAAGGTGCCTAAATTTAGGCTTCGTCCCGGGCACATGTTATGTCCCGGGCACAGGTTTTGTCCCGGGCACAGGTTTTGCTTGCCACGGCGCTGGGGATACAATTATATTTGTATAGTCAAGGATGGAGAGTCACATATAACTCGACCACAGATGACAAGATTTTTAAAACACATACGCGCCCCCCCCCCCTTTTTCATACGCAACTTTTTGTTTATCCCCAGACCCTAAACGCTACAACTAGGTACGAAATGAGGAATACATTTATGGTCGTCAATGCAAATTTTGCAGTTTTATTAATTGCCATATTGACTAGGTTCTCTGTCAATTTTGTGTCTATGTTGTTCCATCAATGTCATATTTTTATAAAAGGTCGGAGTTCAGAAGCACTTAACCCCTAGGAGTCTAAGAGTAAGGTAATGTGGCCAGAATTTCAGCCCCTATGCAAGGGGCAACATCTGCTTCCCTCGACGGGGCAACACCGACTCTACCGACGGGGCAACACCGACTCTACCGAAGGGGCGACACCGACTCTACCGACGGGGCGACACCGACTCTACCGACGAGGCAACGCCGGTTTTACTGACGGGACAACACCGGCTCTACCGACGGGGCGACACCGGCTCTACCGACGGGACAACGCCGGCTTTACTGACGGGACAACACCGGCTCTACCGACGGGACAACGCCGGCTCTACCGACGGGGCAACACCTACTCTACCGACGGGACAACACCGCCTCTACCGATGGGGCAACATGTACTATTGTCCGGGCGTCAAACTTGAGGAAGGGGAGGGGGGAGAGAGATGCATTTTAATCTCAAATATTAATTTAATGTTGTACTGGTAAAGCAAGAAGCAAAAATAACGTTGAAAAATTTACCGCCAGGGATGGTCGATTCTATCGCCAACTGGCCCATTAGTCGACTTGAACTATAAAGTGTGAATTTTTTTTTTTCTTTTTTTTTCCCAGTACATATTGTTTGTAAAAGAACAAACAATTCATTTAAAATATCAAATTCGAAGTTTATCGACAGTTGACTGTGTTTAACTTCAAGAAGGAAATCCACCTCCAGCTGATACATCGTTTGTATGATTACGTTACATTTTGGTTAAACTACAATACGATAAAACAGCTTATTTCTTCATTAAATTTTAGTTAGTAGCAGTAATTAATTATTTATATATTGTTAATCGTATTTGACTCTTCATTCGCCACAGCTGTGGCTTCTTTGTTTTATTTACTTTTTGTTGTTGAAAAAAGAAAAAAAGGTGTTCCTCCGCGATTTAAGGGTCTATTTGTTTGAGAAGAACCGAATTTCAGCTCAGTGCCGTTCCTCGAAGATAGTGAATGAGGTAACAGGAAAACAAGACATTTCATTGGTGAAACTTGATCCCATTGAAACTTGACGTTGATAAAATATGGGTAAAGATGACTTCTGAGAAAAAAAGAAAGAAAGAAAGAAAGAAAGAAAGAAAGAAAGAAAGGAAGGGGGGAAAAGAAAGGAAGGGGGAAAAGAAAGGAAGGGAAAGAAAGAAAGTAAGTAAGAAAGAAAGAAAGGAAGGACGGAGGAAGGAAAGAAAAAAAGAAAGGAAGGGAAAGAAAGGAAGAAAAGGAAAGAAAGGAAGGAAGGGAACGAAAGGAAAGAAGGAAGGGAAAGAAAGGAAGGAAGGGAAATAAAGGAAGGAAGTGGAAAAAGGAAGGAAGGAAGGGAAAGAAAGAAAGGTAGGAAGGGAATAAAAATAAATAAATGTAAAAAAAAAAAAAAGTAGGCTGTATATCTTTCCGTCAACAAGGATTTAAAAAAAAAAAAGGTTAATCTCCTAGCACCTGTGACGAAAAAAAAAGTAGGCTGTATATCTTTCCGTCAACAAGGATTTTAAAAAAAAAAGGTTAATCTCCTAGCACCTGTTACGGCTCAGGAAGTTTCTATGGCAGCGAACAGTCCCAGACATTGACGACAGGGCTCCCAGTGGGACATTATCACTGGTACCTGGAGCGTGACGAGATGTTGAAAGAATCTTTATAGCGCAGAATTGGCGTAGAATCAGAGGAAGGTCTGGTCCAAAGCCCCCCCCCCCCAACCACACTCTTTTCCCCCTGCCCCTGCACAGAAACAACATATATACATATATATATATATACTTTTAAAAATAGTCATTTGTTAAGAACCAAATCAGCACAGAGATTTCTTAAAAAGATTCTGCAGTAGGTAATTTTGCATCAACAATTCCCCCTCCCCCTCTCAAAGTATTACGACCAAGTAGAAGAGACGATGGTGCCGATGATTATTTTAGTCAATTGTCACCCCCCCCCCCCTTCCAACCTAGTTTTGAATTAGTTTTGAATTAATTTTATCAACGTGTCAGTGGCGTCACGAATGTTTCTCCGTCAGCAAAAAAGACGTGTGTGGGTGGGGGGGGGGGAGGGGGGGCTATAAAAAAATTTACATAACTTTTTCCAACCTAGTTTTGAATTAGTTTTGAATTAATTTTATCAACGTGTCAGTGGCGTCACGAATGTTTCTCCGTCAGCAAAAAAGACGTGTGTGTGTGGGGGGGGGGGAAGGGGGGCTATCAGAAAATTTACATAACTTTCAATAAGAGGAGTAATTTTGTCTTACCAAATCGAAATCTTCTCTTTTTTTTAAAGAATAAAAATTATTTGGTCCTGAAATAAAATTATTTATTCGTGTGGAAACAAAATAATTTCAATTAACATCTTAAATATTGCACACAAAAAATCTCATCGTGACATTTTATATGAAGTCTGCGTGACGTTTTATACAATGTCTGCGTGACCTTTTACACAAATAATGATAAACATCCGGTGGCCTCTTATCAACTGACGGAATCTTACTTTATTTTTTTTTCCTCGTGTTATCGTAGTAATTGCTAGATCTGTTCAAACTCGAGATTCACTTTTTATCATTCGTTGATTCCACTGGGTTTGACCTTCGCCTGCTACACGATAACTGGTGCATCAGATTAAATAAACATCGCATGTCTCTTTCATGAACCCTGCTCTATAAGTTCATTCATAACATTAACAAAACCAAAAAAAAAGAAAGTCTGCTGCTATTTGAGGTTATTCAAACGTGACGTATAACACGATAACATGGGAAGTTAAACATGCGGCTTGGTCTTTTCACTATCTACTTCCCATCCTTCAATTCCTAGCGCCACCACCCACTTTTTACGCCTCCGCAACGGACCAAGTACAGGAAAATATCACCCTCCCATCGACTATTTTTTCTCTATGCTCGACTGATCAAAACTATCCCTAACTTAAATCCAGATCCCAGGAGCATCGGTTTGTTATGACTAGTAGCCTTCTAGCCCCGGGGTGCCTGGCGCCCTCCCACTAAACGCTAGGGTGCTTGGTGGCTTGAGTGGTGTCTAAAACTAAGTCGGGCAAAAGCAGGAAAATGCATCACCAGCGCTTCCGGTGGGTGGGGCTTGTTAATTTTGGATTGAAACTTATCTAAAAGAAGGCAAACTCTGAAATCAAACCATGAGGTGGAGTCCCGTAGGCGGCATGACGTTTAAATAATGAACATTTCTCCAACTCCTGCGACGTAGAACGCATACATAAAGAGCAGAGGGAAAAACACACACACAAACACACACAAAGACTCACTGCTGGTCATCTACTGCATCCTGGTCTATTTCCAGTCGTCTTGGCCAATTCTTGCCATGGGATCAAAGAGACAAGGACGAGATAGTGAGACTCAATACACAGCTCAAGTCAAGACAGCTACTCAAGTCGAACATTGCCCTGGTCATCATCACATTCATCTTCGCGTGCGACACAGGTATGTCACTCTACCACAGGGGGCCTTTTGACGAACGATACTAACGCCAAGGGTGCCTGGCGCCCCTCAGCTAACGCTAACGCTCGGGTGCTTGGCGCCCTCATGTAGGATTTGACGCGGTGCTTTTTGACTTAGGTACAAACAAAATGTTGACCACCTATTGGTTTACACGCACCTGGCATTGAAATAAAACCAAGTTTCAAGATATTTGATAATGTTAAATCTTTATGAAAACGGTAGATACACATAGATATATTTGGACTGGTATATTTAGGATTAGGAATCGTATTCCACACGACGTGTTATCAAACCACGCTCCTTATCTGTATGTTAAATATCCGATATGCGAGGAGTGTGTCTGAGCTGAAAATAGCATGAGCCGAGCCATGAGAGAACGACACACCAGTCATGTTGGTGGACATTTATATTCGAAGCTGTCATAACAGGCGAGGTGAGAGAACTTAAGGTTGGGGGGGGGGGTTGGGTTAGGGGTAAAAACGGGTTTTTGGCTGTTCATTTAAATCAACTTGGGTTTTTTGTTGAATTTGGTCCCCCGGGAAAGGCAGGTGTGCACACCGTCTGGCTTGTTGGGGAAATGTCTCCAAACACTGTAATAATAGTAAACATTAAGCTGATATTGTACACAGACACAGTAGGTTGATTTGGTGTGTTAAGTCATATCATACATGCACTATACAGAGTACACGGTATGCTGATATAAAACATTATATTGATAAACGCAGACAGTGCGGTAGCTAGTGTTGCCCAGAAAAAAAGGGGGGGGGGGTGAGGTG